GATCAGGATGCTATGGAACAAAAATATCTTATGAAGCTACGACATGGCTTCTAGTTCTGGATCCAGGAGAGATGAAAATTGTCTGCTAATGGCAGCTGTTACTTCTTTAGCTTTACAAATGCAAAGACACATAGAGGTATGTGTATAACAGTACTACAGGTCAGGATTCATCACTCTATACTTTTACACTGTAGACATGTACATCAGAGTTATCAGTATCAATGTGTGGAGAGGCTCGGACATATTTGCAGTGTGATTCTTATTATTCTAAATATGAAATACACTGGGTAGGAATGTGCCTTGAATCCACCTGTACTTCTGTGCTGATGAGGAAGGTCATGTAGACAGTGACTGTAGATAGGTTACACTGTAGCAGTCTAACATTAGGCAAGATGAAACCCATACTTACTAAGTGGTCAAAAATTTTTAATTTTAATTTTAATTTAAAATGCTGCAAAACATCTTCCTATTCATAAGCACGGTAAAAAACAACTTTCCAGGTAACACCTACAAAAGCCACTATATTATCATCCTTTCAATACATACTTAAAATTTCTCTGTGCCACAATGCATAGTCAACCCAGTTTCTGATACCATCCACATACATGATGAGTTTGCTTTACTGCTATGACTGTCTAAAAAATGAGGAGTTAACAATTCCTATCAGAAGATTTTCTGGTTTTTTTTCAGTAGTTCCTCCATGGACTTTCTTGGCTTACCTTTCACTGTACTGTACAGTATCTAGCCCAAAGGTGTCCTGACCAAAAATTTACAATTGCAAGTGCTGCAACAACAGAAGAGTGTAACAAGCTGGTATTTTAATAACAGCTTAGCTTATTTTGGTCATCCTCAGTGATATTACTGAACAATAAATAAGATAGATAGATTCTATAGAATGCTTAAGTGAAATGAACCTAACAAATCCCTTCAGTGATACGCTTGAACTATAGCGATAGGAATGCACGCTTGAAGTTTGGACCTACCCAATGGATGTGAGCAGACCTGAAGCGGAGCCGGTACACTTTGGGAAGGTGATTCTCCTGTAAAATTCCAAAAGAAGTTATAGCCTGCTGCTCAGTGAGGATCACCTGCTAGTAGAATTCATAATATTATAAAGTTTTACCCATTCTGTAGAAATGTCATAACTACTGTGACTGTTAAATTGGGACTTGACATGTTTTGTCTTAGCTCGTCTGTCATATTTGCTGGAGGGCTCCTTGCTGTGGCGATGGGATACACTAGCACTTTCGCTGCTGCTGCTGGTTCTGCTGCTGCTGGTTCTGCTGCTACTACTGCTGCTACTCTGTGTTCTAGGCTTCTGGTTGTGAATGCGTCTCCCTCCGTCAGCAGTGCTGGCACGTGGAAACGACGCAGGCTTGGGATGCTTTTTACCCGTATGTTTCATATCAGATGCTTTGCTGCTGCTGCTGCTGCTGCTGCTGTTGCTACTGTTACCTATGCTGCTACTGCTGCTACTACTGCTGTTGCTGCTATTACTACTACTCCTGCCTTTCCTCCTGCTGCTGCTTTGGCTGCTGCTGCTCTTACTACTGCTACTACTGCTTTTGCTGCTGCTACTGCTGCTACTGCTACTACTGCTGCTTTTGCTGCTGCTACTGCTGCTGCTACTCCTGCTTTTGCTGCTGCTACTTCCACTACTACTGCTCTTGCTGCTACTGCTGCTGCTGTCACTGCTACTACTGCTGCTGCTGCTGCTGCTACCACTGCTGCTGCTGCTGCTACCGCTGTCCCCAAAGGGATAGAATTTCTTCCCTTTGGCTTTAGGCTGTTTTGTTTTCGGATTTATCTGGGTGCCTCCCTGTGAGGCCCTGTTGTCAGAGTCACTGCTAGAGGGGCTGCTTGTTGCACTCTCCGTGCTTCCACTGGTGCTGCTGGCACTGGATGATGAGCTTCTTAATTTTCTTGTTCCCTAGTAAAAAGTACCATTGGAAAAAGAGAATTATTTTTCTATGTCTCTGCAGAAAGCTGTAAGTAAAATCACATATAGAGAGCTATGAATCTCTTTGCTGCCTCAGAGGGTAAGAGGTATGCCTGAGATAGCAATCTTGCAATACATCACAATAAAACCAATTCATAATAATATGTTAAAAACACACCTAAGTAGAACTAGCCCCCAAACCCACGTGTGATAATGAATATGTTTAGAAATTATTGCTCATACAGTTATATGTAACTAATGTTAGTAATGACAGTGCTGTAGCTGTGACTATCTCAAGGCTGTTTAGGAGGTATCATACCTTTTTGCAACAGCTGCAGTAGCTGGAAGGAACAGACAATCTTTTGGGCACACAAAATCTTTAGGCCTGACATAATTGTGCCAGCGATCTTCAGAGAAACCAGCAAAACCAACCAGCTCTCCCTAATCTCCTTCACCTCACCTACTGCAAAAGAAATGAACTCAAACAAAAGACCTGCAGAAAGAGTTGTGTACCTAAAAGCTTGTCTTTATTTTCCAATTTTTGTGTACTATCTAAACAGTGAAGGCTACTTAGTAAAAGAAGTATAAATAACCGAGCTTTGTATGCCATCTCCCAAAATCTGGAAAGTGGATTTTTACAAAAGTACCTGGTCATCAGTATCATCAAGGATTTTCTTCACTCTTTTAATTGCTTCTTTGCTGGAAGATACTTGCGTCTCTGGATCTTCAAATGTTACTAAGCGTACCATTTTTGTAGGAGCTTGGGTCCCTGCTTGAATCGTGACTTGTATTTTTTCAATAGGTGCCTCTGTATAGACTGAAATTGCACAAAAATCAATATTACTACACTAATAGCTGTTACTAATAGCAGCTGAATAGTAGAATAAGCCAATTGTTTCTATAATTTATTCAGACATTCTTTCACACCTGAAAATGTAAATGCTCATTGGTTATTTCTGGTATTGAGTTACTGTTAAAATACTTCCATAAGAGCTGAATGTTCATAAACAAATTTTACAAAGTTAACATGGCACCAGATTCTTTTCCAGTCAAGAAACAGTGATCAGCAGATCTAAGTCAGTGAACTGGATTGCTTAAACAAATAACACTGTGGGACAGCGAGTGAGGCATCAGAAAGCAATTGAAGCTTGACTCCTGTCAAGCCTTCTTGTAAAGAACAGCCCGATGGCCGTTAGTCTGATACTTAGGAGATCTAGATTCAGTTGCCTGCTGTGCTTTCACTTCTTATGATCATGGATTAAGATATTAAGGACTAGATCGTGGCAAGGTTGATCCATAATTCCTTTTAAGAGTCTGGGCTTTTAGAGCGTAGCTGCAGGACACAAGAGCGTAGCTGCAGGACACAGCATCAGATCCGATGGCCATGTCCAATTGCTCTGTGCCTGCATCCCAAATCCAATGTTTTGCGATATACCAGACACCCTCTGCAGGCACAGATCAAATCTGCCTGGCACTGACTGAGTGTGCAGAGTGGAGCTGTGCTGAATGGCCAACTCATTCAGAGAGCTGGGAAATCACTGGTGCTGCCAATACTGGCAGAGTTGAAAGCTCTAACAGTGGTTTTAATGGCACTTACAATACAACAGTTATATATATGTAGGTACCTATACACAAACAAAAACATATGCATTACTTTCTTTTTATGCACAATTGTATTTACCTGGTTTGAAGCTCATTCTAAGTGCATGTTCTCCAACTAGGTAATAAAGAGGCACATTTTTGATAAAGGCTGCATGTACGCTTTTCCTCTCAGTGCACACTTGAACTCCAAAAGTACTTGCATTGGAGCACATGGAGTGAACAAATGGTTCCTTCCGGGAAGATGAGTGTCCAAAGAAAAAGGAATTTCCTGATGAAACATCTTCTGCAGACTGTCTGTCCTATTAGATAATACACAAGTCATGCTGGACAGCACTAAGAGAAATTCTAGCATGCTATGACTTCTGTTTCAGTAATAGAGTTAAATATATTTTGCAAAAGGAATTAACCAGTTTCCTTGAGACTGTGATATAGAACAACTTGGTTTTCCATAGCAAGAAGTTATCAGCTGAATGGATGGATTACACTATCTAGGGCAGAAAGAGCTTCAGGATCTGGAAAGCTATATCACAAAAATACTTCTAATTATTTCATTTTGTTTTCCCTGAGTATTAAACTGCATTAACAGATTCTTGATGAATCTGAATGTGCTCTTGACCAACTGGAGTTCTTTAATTTATGGTTGGGTCAAACTTCATAATCTTTATCCAAGTCCATGCAAATTCTGTCTGAGTTGAGATCTGACATGAATGTAAGGATATATCAAGTAAAAAGACCACAGAGATTTCCTAGATGGTCAAAGCATATCAGATGTTAGAAATTTCTGCCTCAAAGTACATAATACACATATGCTAAGCAATGCGTCTGGAAGAATGAATTAAAATTAATTAAAATAAGAATCAAATCAATGAAATCAAAGCTATGATTTCCTGGAGCAATGAAGCAAATAGCTGAAAACACATAACCATAAACTTTCATTTTACATGTTATACAAGGTTTGCAATTAATTTTTTACTCAGATTATTATATCTGACAAGATCCCCAAGTTGTGTGAGTTATACTAAAAAAAATGGAATTTTAATGCTAATCATTTTTTTTCCAAAGGAAATTCTAATGATACTGGAAAATGATCAAATTAGTGCCATTTTTCAATTTAAGATTAACTGCAGAGTGCTATATTTTCAGGCTGCGTAACACAGAGGCACAAAGTAGAACAACCTGGCTTGTTCTAGCATATTGGAAATTTCTGCAATTGATAGCACGTTTGCCTATGGACTTCTCTGTAGGAAAATGCTGTACTTACCCTCCATTTTTCTCTTACTTACTTACTTTATCTGAAAACCACTCGCAGTTGCAGGACTACAATGAAACTGAAACGGGGCAGTGTATTCCTTGCCCTTGTCAATCTGTCACTGAATTAATTGTCATGGTGATGTCTTCATGATGCTGCCCTTAGTAGAAAGCCTGTATTGGCTTTTACTGAAAGCTGTAGCTCATAAAGTCATTTGACTTGACACATAAATTGATATCCACCCTTGAATTAGGAGAGTCTAAGCCTCGAAGCATTACATTTGGTTCCACTAGTTGAGTACTTGAGCAGTCTGGTGGAATAATTATAACTGTCCCAGGGAAGTCATGATTACTTAATGGTTACAGTGGACTTTAAGGATTGTGAGCCTATCCTGTAGATGGCAGTGTAAAATTAATTATCAAAGAAATGCTCTCGCTTCTGAAAATGGTGATGCAAGTTGGATGTGATTACACTCCAGCTTTTAAAATAATGTTACTATAGGGTTATTTGTGTTGTTAGATTGAACCTGACCTACTTTGAGAGATGCAGCATTGGTCAGAGGTGAATCATACATTTCTCCTATGGACAAAAAGAAATGGTATTATCCCACTAATTAAAAGTCAAAAAGGAATAGTCAGACCCTACATCAGTTACCCTGATGTTATCAGTCTCGCCTGATGCAGAATCTGAATTGAAGGGCATCTTCATTATGTCAGGTACTGCTTCAGGTAGAAGAACTGGAGTCATCTTACTAGCAGCCAAATCCTCGCTATTCCGTGTAACAGCAAATGTCTTAGACCTGCAGAATAAACATTAGGGGGAATCTGTATCGATAAAGCACTGCTGAGGAAAAGACCTGAATCATGTCTTGTAGCACATACTCAGCAACAAGTATCATACCTCGCAAATTGCTTTACAGATATTTACAGCATCTTTCCTGCTATTGATATTTTCAAGGACTGCAAAGATTGAATAAAAACTTGGACCAATCTCAGGGCAGATAGCTCACAATCACTCTTTCAGAATGTCATGTATAGGTTAAAAGCATTGTAGCTGATGGGATATTAGTATGTCTAATGCCTTTAAGAATAGGGCACTTAGAAGCCTGGCAGTGGATTAAGATATTAAAATCTTGGGTCTCTTGTTTAGATATTTTGTTCTTTAAGATATTAAAATCTTGGGTTGCTTATTTAGATATTTTGTTCTTTAAAATTTTTGAACTCATGTTCTGTGCCTTTGCAGCTAAACTTGGTTCTCATTTCCTTTAATGTTACAGTTAAAAAATACTGCCGTAATTCCAAAAAACACTAGGGAGAGGTGGCTACTAAATACTGTTTCCTTTGCATCTTGTTAAACTATAGTTAAGAAAGAAGCCTAGAGTCATCAGAGCTAGTGTCTGGAGCTTGATATAACTGCACTGGTACAGATTCATGACTTGGCAAGACATCACAGAGACATATGAGAAGGTTCAAAGCCTATTTACTTTAAAATGTTCAACACATAGATTCTTATGTTGTGGGGCTAAAGAGTGTTAGGATCCAGGTCTAGCAGTATAAGATGTGACATGAAACCGAGACTCTCACAGCTAAATATCCTGACATCCTGGCTACTTTAGGGTCTTCAGAAAAGTTGTTACAGTGCTGTAACAACTATAAATTTGGTCTTGGGTCAGGGAAACATCTTGAATATTAAACACTTTTGAGAGAAGAAACCTCTTTCTCTCAGCTAGCAACATTTGCTAACTCTGCCTTATTAGCCATTTATCATCACTAGCATCTAGCTCAAAATTCCCCACATATTGTTGCTTATGTATGAAGTGCCATGGGGTCGCTGTGGCCTGCCAATGGAGGTGGCCTTTGTGACAGTGAATAGAAAGATGGCCTTCAAAATGGTCTCTATATTAATATGGTCCACGCTGTACTAGTGTGAGAATTTCCAATCTAACCTATTTGAAAGATGAATTTGTATTCATCTGATAGCGCTCTCTTCCTCTTGAAGGCTCCTGCCGTGCTGTGTGCACTGTAAAGCACACAATTGCACTTCATGTGGAACACCTCAATAAAACGTGTGTCACCTGTGGGCTTTGTTTTCTTTTCCATCTCTCTCTTTTTTTAGATAAGGACATGACAGCAACGCTCCACGCTGGGTGAGAGTAGAACCTTGAAGAATGAAATCTGAAATAAAATATTCTTCCTAACAAGCTGAGTGGATAAAAGAAAATACAAATCAACTTGCATTTCAGATGGCTCATCTGGGCAAAGGGACAAAGAAAGGAAATGGCTTTTATTTTAATCCCATTCAATAATTCAAATGACCACTGAACTGCAGGCTGGGTCTCCAAGGAGAAAGCTCTGGGGTTTCTTTTCCAATTTTTTTTTTAGTATTTTTTATGCCAATGGTCTACTCCTGCCACCTAATGAAAGTAGAGGATCGATTCCTCCCTGTTGAGCACAGAGGGCTGACAAATGTAGCAGCATCACAGGTGACACATGTCAATGTCTGCAGAATCACACGGCACAGTAAAAATAGGCTACAAGAGCCAGCTCTGGTGCTTTAACAAGAAAAACAGTCACAAAGAAGGCCTAAAGCTATGGTATGAAAGAATCTGTTCTCTCTGTTCCCACACAAGGGAGAAAAAATAAAAGGGAGATTTTCCAATATGTATTAGTGTATTTTTTGGATAAGAGAAGAAGCTGTGCTATAGTATAAGCCAAATTCATTGCGTGGGGAAGGGGCAAGCAATTCAACTGTGTTGGGCCCGTTAATGTTTCAGTGAATGTGGCCTTATATGCATCCCTAACTTGGGGACAGACGAGCTCAATGTCTGTTTAAAACAAAAAAAATCAACCTCAAACTATTTTTAATCAGGTTTTAAAGCACGGCGTGACAACATATCTAAATAAATGAGAAGCAAGTGACAATGCTAGTATCAGATCCTCAACTCTTGTTCCACTGCAGTAGAATGAAGGTTCCTGCCTTTCCTACCCAGCGTCCTCCTGACCTTGGTGCAAAGGTGTTACAAAAATGAAGACGTGGAGTGCACTGTCATTTCCCTCCTCCGTCCCCAAACACACAGCGCTATCTTGTGAGCTCACGCATCACATGCACTGGCTCTTTTGCATTTTCCTTTATACATGTTGTATACATGTTGTATACAGTGCTGTAATTTTGTAATTCATATTATAAGAAGCAATTTCTGGTTTTCCTACAGTTAAAACAAGCAGAAAAGCCCCATGATACAAGCTCTATGCCAGATTATGCATATACTTCAGTAGCCTGTCATTATGAAATGTGATATATTTGCAAAGTGCATTCTCTGGCAGCTCTCCATATTTATGCTTTAATCACAGGCCTCTAATTTTCTCTGAAATTTACTTCTTCCTGTAAATTTTGTTAAAATGTATGTTTAAGTAGCCATCTGCAGTATACCAAATAATTATGTTAAAGAGCTTTAGAAATAACTATTATTTTTAATTAAATTTAACTTTGATAGGATTGAAATGAAACACATGCTATATATTGTCTACATAGCATGATTAATTATTTTGTTCTGATTTTGCCATAAGGAGAGTTGAGTCTTTAATTTTGTCTTGGGAATGCAGTCTTTCACTCACCAAAGGTTTTTTTTTTTTTTTTTTTCCCCAATGGAGTCTGTGATTTCTCACCTGAGTTTCTCATTGGCTCTTGGAAATTCATATAAATCCCACAGTTGTCACAAGTTATAACCTGTGTGGTATATATGATATAACTGAACTTAATGCTATTGAACACTGTTTACTTCTCTAGCTGGTGTGAGAGATGATGAGGAAAGTAATATTACATCCTGACTGGCTTTAATATCACAATACAATAGGAGGAAAGTCACTGACCATCAAGAAAAAGTGCCTAATACTAAAATATTTTGAACATAGTTCAAAACAACATAGTTCACAAACAACTGAAAGAGCAATAGATTTCTAGACTCATTTCTTTAAATGAAGAATTTAAAGCTCACAATGGACAGTGTCAGAATATCTCTAAAATATCAAATTCTTTATTCTTTGATGGAGCTATGCAAAACAAAGAGAAAGGTTGTGTTAAACTAAGCTTTTGGACTCATTTTATACAGAATATATATGCATTCTTTCTCTCTCTATACCTATGCATTCTTTCTCTCTCTATACCATGCCTACTTGTTTCTCCTCATACCTTTCAGATTTTACTTTGCTTGTTCTTTGACCTCCTCAGTGATGTGGTTCAATGTTACATTCTCCAGTTATTGCTTTACCTTCACTTGTACTCATTGTTGTTTCATTGTTCTGTGTGATTTCTACTGATCATTTGTTTTGTAACAGTGAACTGGAATGCTTTTTTGGAAAAAAGAAAAAAGGATGCTGCTAAAAGTTAGCTAGAGAGTATTATATGGTTGGCATTATAGAGCTATTTCCAGCTGAATACTTCACTTCATAGATGATAATGCTGCAGGGTCTAGAGCGGGGCATGGGCTGGAACTCATAGGCTCCTCAGTTGTAATCCCCTGCTGCCAGTACTGATTTGGTTTATCCTTTTTGGCATGGCATTTAACCCCTTTGTGCCTGATTTGATTTCCCCCCCCAAGTCAAATGAGGAAAATAATTTTTATTTTGCTGTGCAGGGAGGATCATTCTGCTAGCACTGATAGCTCAACTTCAGGCTCTAAATTCCATATCAATGCCCAATATTCTTATTTCAGTTCAGTATCCTTTCTGAGTTCATTGATGTCCACGTTGCCCTCTCCAATGCTGAGAGCTAGTGAAAAGAGCTGTTTGCCATCCCAGATGACCTTGGGAATTGGCTGTAATGGTCTTCACAAGAAACCAAACAAACTTTTGGGTTATGGTGCCCAAGAAACTCACATGCACCTAACCATTGCTCAGTGAACTGAAGCACTCATTCCTCTGCATGGAGAACCCGATTACAGTCATGTTTGAATGGAGTGGAGGACTCATATCTGGGAGGAGGTTGCGATGTGGAATGCCTAATAAGATGGTCTGTGACCACTGAAGAGCAAGAGAGAATAATGATTAGCCTCTATGGTGGCTAAACTGAAGAGACCTGCAGAACTCCTCTGGGCCAGCAGCCATGAATGCTAATTACAGCCGGATCAAGCAACTGAGCTCTTTCGTTATGGCCATATTTCTAGAGCAGAAAGTTGTTAACATTTCTGGGGATTGTACAACAGCTGATTTGTGTTGTCAGTGATGCTTTTTCCTTTGTAATGAATTTTCAGCTTGTCTTCCTCAGTGTTTTTTCGTGTGTGTGTGTGAAGGTTTTCTAAGTTTTGGTCTACTGCTTTGATTCCTTGGACATATTCTTTCTGTTTTCTCCCTCTCTTTGTGCTTGTATTTCCATCTGTTTTCATTTGTTTGGCATCTGGCTACAATAGTTTTCCAGAGTGTATTGTAATTGCATACACTGATAATAAATCAAGTAGACCTAAGAGGCAAGAAAACCAGATGCCAGCCACAGGGAAACCAGATGAAAACACAAGAAACACCAAGTCCTCTACACTTTAAGGCACCGAGCGCAAATATATACGGTTTAAGGCACCAAGTGCAGATATATATGGGTTGTCTTTTATAACTGATAGGATTCCTGTGGCTTATATCTTACCTAGTGTCTTCAGTACAAATACATGTATTGGGATGGAAATTTTATGCCATGTGTGCTTTAAGTAGCTTGGGAGTCTGAAGGCCTGAAGAAAAATGGTTCTAAAGATGATTTTCAACTGAAGATTGCAGCAGATATAGCATATTTCCAAGCAAAGTGTTGGTTCACATCATTCTGCTTAAATTAAATAAACTACACCAATCACTGCCAGTTACCCAAACTGTCAGTCAAAGGCATGATCCCTAAGCCAATGATTCATTTTATTTGGAAAGATTCTGTACCGCTACATAGAAAGATAATAAATGCTACGGCCTACCTTACAGTAATAATGTTAGTTTCTTCTTTACATGGTGGAATTTCAACTTTGATACTTTTTTCCTTCATATGGACGGTGGCAACAACATTCACAGGGACATGAGCATTCATTTTGGTATGCGCTTCCAGTCCTGCCTGGATCATATGTGTATTGATCCCCATTACAAAGGTCATGTCCTTAGCCATGCTGAAAAGTTAGAATGAGATTGTAAAATTATGTACATACAGTAAACAGCTGTTGAATTTTTAAGACTGGCCTCTGTCACTTAGAAATATGATTTTCTTATTTTATGCTAAATATTTACCTTAGACTCACTTTGGATTGCAGCCTAATGTTGGCATTTAGTAACTCAGTTAGTCTGAAATCAGACTTTGGAGAAGGTGTAATCTGTGCTTGAACTATTTTAAAGAAAGGAAACAAAGTGTTAAAAAAAAAAACCCAGTCCTGACAACTATGTTTGTATTGCCAAAGTGCTGAAATACGTTACCATTTCCTGCCACTTTTGTGATAGATGTGTAATAGAAGCTTGTCTCCATTGGGAATCCAGTGCAGGTAGGTACAATACGGCGGATCTCAGAGGACAGTAAAGCCTTGGTCCATTGCCTCCCTACACCACTTTGAAGGCTACTGATTAATCTCCTTATTGAAGGGATTTTTTCATCAGGTCCATACCATGCCTGAAATTATAGAGTGCAACTTGTCTACACAGAAAAACTTGAATATCACGATCTGTTTCATTAACTGTGCCTCAGGAGAATGACTGCCAGCAATGATTATAGCTAATCCTGATCAAAGTTTGAACTTATTTGCCTTGATTGATACTAAGGACAGCAAAATCTCTTGAATTAAAAAGTTAAACAAGCAAAGGAATGTGTGGAAGAAACAGTATTTTAAAGCTTTTGATGCTTATCTGGTGATGTTATCCAAGTGATGATACCTGCAGTGCATTTTGGATGGTGTTTCTGTCAAGTCCGCCGAAGAATAACTCTTGGCCAAACATCTTCAGGTAGCCTGATACAAAAGGTTTGTCACTAGAGAGGGCCTTCCAGTCAGAAAGCTGCATGAGAAGAAGGACATCTGATTCTTCATAAAATTCTGAGGATAGTAATACCTTAGAGATTTTCTTTTTCCTGAGAATTTACCGTTTTCAGGATTTCCTTGAAGTCATAGTCAGTCGTCCAGTCCTGGTCAGGGGAGTAACCTTTAGCAAACATCTCCTGCAGTCCTTCAGCTGTTATTCCCACCTGTGGGAAGAAGAAAAGTGCCCAATTGCCAATTGGACAATGTTCAAAAGAAGGGGTGAGGGGCAAACTGTGGGTAGACCCAGTTACCTCCAAGGGATCAGCAACTCTTCCAAAGAAATGTGTCCGCAGCTGGGACATTGCCATTGTTGGAACTATGCTGCCTGCATTATTCAATACTAAATATTTAGCTGCCAGTCCAGTCATAAGAAACTCTAAAGAGAAACAGGTAGTAAAACACAGCATAGTTAGTTTTTTTAAAGCTAATTGCTTTAGACAACAGATACAGCATGATATGAGAAGGGCCAGAAAATCCAGCTATAAAACTGATATTATAAAACAGTCATAAACAGAATATTCTGCATATTTGAACTATTAACGGACAAAATTACAAGTTCCCTGCTCACTGCATAGCAGTTACGCTGTTTTTCCAATTGCTTCTGGTAAATCATTTACATCCGGTCAGATTCTGTAATACCAGCTTATGAAATGCTTTTATGAGACATCATTCAAGGTAACTTGACAAAGGGGATCAGAAACGGAAACAGATTTGCCATCGTTTGCTAATAGTTTAGGGAAAGTGATATAGATGTCTTATAAGGACAGATGGTGAGGTGTAGATTTGTCTCCCAAATGACTAAAAGGGAAGTTAACGTATCTACTTCCCAATGCTATAACTCTTTTCATGAAATGCTCCAATTATTAAGTAAATGTTAACTATCATGTAAACTCGGAACAAACCTAATTTGTGTGTATTTTCTCTGCTTTAGATTTCTAATCATCTATAATGTTCTTAGATAAAGACAATCAGTGCAGAGCACACTCATATATTTTCTCTGATCTTGGTACAGCTCTATACAGCCCAGTTTTCTGAGTTAAAGTAATTCCAAGGCTTTTCTAAGTTTCCTTAGGTTTCAAGACCAAAAGAATATGTAGACATCCTTGTCATGCTTCCTTTCTTCCACCTCTCCTGCCTTTTTTCTTCCTACACTAGTTGGAGGACAAGGAAGTGTTTTAGGAGTCCCTACGTTAAATTTCTGCTATCCTCATGTCATATACTAATTAAATTGGGCTCAGAATCCCAGCAGAATCCCCTGGCTTTGGAAAGCCAGTACAACCAGGGTAATTGCAGCCCAATGATTTTAGTACCAGATCCAGCTCAACAATATTAGTACATTTACAGAAATTACTTATTAATATATTTTCAAAAGTTATAAGAGGGAATTAATCTTTGACCTTCTTCCAGAAAAGGAGTGGCCAAACTCCAATAAATTACATAGCTAAAATGTAAAGATTAAACAAGGTTATTATTTAGTTCACAAATGTGTGGCTTTATGAGTATCCAAGCCCAGACTTCTCTAGTGCTTCTGTTCTGAGTTTCAGATAACCTCCCACTTGTGGATCAAGCACCTTGCTACTCCTACTGGAATCTGTGCACGCAGACAGAGGTCCAGATGCATGTTCCTTGACCCCTGTTTATCCCACACACTGAATTATTCAGTGTCAGATTTCTGGGACGATTTTGATTTCTAATATCTAGGGACAGATTCCAATTTTTAATGTATTTGAAAACCAGTTTGGCTGGAAAGGCAACAGATTTAGGTCTACTAAATCTGTATGAACTGACGTTTCACTAGGTCACCTTCACTCTTTTGCTGCATTAGACTCCTGTATTTTCCCAAATGTGCTAGGTGCTGTCTAGTTACAACATAAGCAGTTCAGTAACATACCCTGTAATTGAAATGTAGGTATTTATGCCATCCCATTGATGGCAGAGGAATCAGTGGAGAACATGCAGCAGGCAGTAAGGGAGAGATGGCAAAAGCTCACATTTCAATGCTGACTCTGTAGAAAATAACAACTGAAGTGATGCCACACTGGGGCATATAAACTGACTTCAGACTTCAAAACATGAAGCTTAACTTTTCACTGAATGAGCTTAGCCAGTCCTAGGTGTTATGGAATCACCACTAGAATCAGATACGGTACTTTTAGCCAATTTGTTAAAGCTGTTTTTTGTGTGTTCTCAACCATGGTATCAGGTAGTTAAAACAAATATGGTACTTTCTGATACTTAATAAGAAGTGTTGCTCATAAATGATTAAATGATTATACAGAATTCATCAACTTGAGGAGAGCATGGATATTTTCCATACCTCAAGCATTACAAAGCTCTAATGCTCTAAGGAAATATTTACCAATGAAAAATCATACTGACATAATCAGATGATGCACTGTAGCCACTTCTTTGCAAGAGCTTGATGACCCCTGCATATATCTGACTAAATACCATGCCCAAGGAAGAGGGAAAGAAAAGTCACTGATGAAAAAAAGCAGTATTTGATACCTCCAAATATTAGTATATAGATATCTCATCACATAAATTGGTAAAAAGCTGTGCATATGGAGAGTCAGATTCTGTCAGTCTTCACATTGAGTAATACCTGGGCCATCCCTTTGACTTCAGTTACAGTGTGTAGAGCATAAAACACTCATGGTGGCCTAGTGTGACAGATTCCAGATGAGAGATACTTTCAGCTGCTTTTAGTGATTGTCATTAAAAATTCAGTATCTAGCACCACAAAGATCTGATGCTGAGGGCACATTTTTGTTTTTAGCATGGGAATAGGTACTGCATTACTGCAGTCACTATGGTAACTCCTCTAGAATGGACTCATGGAAATACATTTCACCTATGACTAGTGGTGACAAATCAAATCAGAAGGGTGGAGGATGGATCCTCCTCCACGCCAGTGTAATATAGGACTGACTTCATTTAGCCAGCTGAGTTATCTAAGTATAAAATTAGCATGTGTGAGAAAATAATTTTGTTCTTTAGTCTTCAGGAATAGGAGGTCTAAACATGACATCTGCATACTAACCAAATTCCTGACCCTTGTCTTCACCAAGAAGGTAGCAACATTAGACTGATATGCTGCATTCCTAGGCTATAGCAAAAACAAAATAATTCATTCCACATAGCCCTTTGCCAGTTACCCTGATGCATACGATACCCTTCTTTCTCACTGTGTGAACACTAAGACAGTTTCATTTTAAAAGCAAAAATAAGAGGAGAAAATGAGTACCTACAACTAGAAACACGTTGTTTTCTGCTTATTACTGGAAAATATATCTCTCCCTGAATGCATTTTAAATGCTAGAAAGTTCACACAGTGCATATTAGTAACTGTATTTCTTCAGGCACTCTCTGTCTCCATCTCTGAGGTAGCAAGCATGTGTGTTATATATAGCTGTGGTCACTATGTGGTATATATTATACTTATTTTTATTATACAGTAGATTAAATGGTCATGTAAAATCCATGAAACAGAGGCAGGGCAACAATAACATCTACGGAAGTGTTCCAAACTACCTCCTCCTTCAAAAAAAAAGGCAAAAGTACCTGTACACATAGCACTGCAGGTTTCAGATGTTTCAGAGCCTCTTTTTCTATTGATTACTTTGAAAAGAAGCTTTACATGTGCTGATAAATAACAAAAGTGCTAAAAACATCCAAGAGTGCTCTTGGATAAACAGCATGTGCAAGAAGACTGTGTTTGTGGATATAATCTCCCTAGTCTGCCAGCTACATATGCCAAATCACTGAGGCTGCCATGGTCATTTACATAGGGGAGTTGCTTAAGAAAAATCTCTCCTGAGAAATATAACATGAATGGAAAATGGAAATAGCTACAGTTTGGCCCAGCAAGAGCCAATCTCCTAAGCTCGTTCTCTCCCTTCTAAGGAGAGATGTTCTAATGTCTAATGTCTAATGTCTAATGTTCTTGATTTTTACATGCAGCTCCCATTGATATAACTGGTCTGCCTCCAGAACCCACACATGGATCTGCTCATTCTAATAAAGAATGCTGGTAGGAAAGTGCAAGGAAAATCTGTAGCCATAAGCCTGAGATGGCTGCTCATGGGTGCAATGAATTGTCATGTCTGAACATTTTCAGAGTTTGCTGTGTCACTGGGCACTGCTGAGGGTGAAGAGCTTTTAGCATCACATTTGAATTCAGCAAGAGTTGTAGGTGTTCACACTGGTAGAAATTAATCCACTTCAGCAGTAATTTAGGTCCCTTCTGTTTGTTTGGTGCTGAACAATGATATAAAAGTGTTAAGCACTGCTGAGACTATGGCATTTGATACAAGAGCATGTGGCTCACTGGCTAATGCATGTGGAGAGAGGAATTTGAACCTTACCTTTGAACATACTGAAGCGGAAAACCTTGCTGAATTGATATCCAGATTTGTCAAATTTGGGGCTTAATACTCTAATAGCCATTCTGCAGGCAGAAGCCCTGAAAAGATTCAGTGAGCACATTAACACCTCAGTACGTTTGCAACAAGTTCTTTTAGAGAAGAAATGCAAATTTTCCTTACATTGCTTGAAGATCTGGAGCTGTGCTTCTACCCAGAGCCCTCAGGTGAGAATACATGAAACTTGCAACTTGCATGCTAGGTTCCTTCAGCACAGCATCAGTTAATGTCATCAGTATAGGAAGACCTGGCCTGCTTTCAAGCAAAACTAAGGCAGCTAACATTCGGAGCCGAGGATGCATTTTGTGATTCAGGAAAATCTCAAGAGTAATAATCTGTACCTGAAAATAAAAGAAACATTTAAATTTATCATATGTTTGAACAGTTTGCCAATAGCTGTTCATCATAGGTAAATGATCTCTTCATTGCTGGTAGAGTACAAATCTGTATTAACTTAATTATTAGGGCAAGAAAGTTTCTGGTTTCATGGTGTGAAGGCTGGAAAGGGCATTATGGTAATTTAGTCTGACTTCCTACGCAATCCAAGCCAAGGAACTTCTCTGGATAACGTCTACCTCAAACCTTTTCTTTTTTGAGCTACAGCAAAATGTATCTGCAGCATAACCACTCTAGGCAAAAGAGAATTCGAGAACCCATCCCATGCCTGAGAAGTGGTTTCAGTGATCACTTATCCCTATCCATAAAGGTATACCTTATTTCTGATCATTTGATTTCCTGAGGCCCTTTATTCTAGATGAAAAATCAAGTTTACTACCAGAAATCTCTATGCCATGTAAAGCAATTTAAAATTGTGAATTCATGTAACGGATATAATTTCAGAGTACTATTTGTGACCAATGTGTTTGACCTCTACAATATTTAATATCAAGACTAATTTCACACTGGAACATCTCCAGTTTCCAAGAGCTGCACTCCAGCATTTTGACCCCAACCTCAGACTGGGCTTGGACTGTGTAACACCCTTCTGGCCCCCATCTAAACAGTGCAGCTCCTGCTTAGGACAGCGCAAGTCCATGCTCTCTGATGAAAGGTCTCATCCAACAACTTCAACAAACTTCAGAAACACCCCCGGTTGGTGACATTAATTTAACTACGGTATCTATCCAATACTGAGGTAAAAGCAGTGGCAAGGATGCAGTAGCCTTATTCTAAATGTAACTACCTTTCCAAATTAGGCAATAAAAGTGACAGACCACGTAGTAAGCCTCTTTAATGCAATGTGGGTGTGTGGCTAGCCACAAACCAGGGATTAAACTGGTTTCTGGACAATGAAAGATACAGTCACACTCATTAACATGCTCCAGATCAATTTTCTGCAGAGCAAATGCATAGAAAATGGATGCTAAACAGTGGTCTGGGTCCTATGTGGAAAGCTGGGCCAAAGGGCAGCCACAAACACAGCATCATTTTCAAACATCAAACCGACTTTTTTCTTTCCCAGCAAATACCCCAGCTCCTACCCTCACTAGTCTCTCCTCCTTCCCTTTTCCTTATCTAGCTCTTGCATGTTAGTACATTGTTTCTTTATTCTTTTGCTTAAAAGCATACCCTGGCACACTATTGTCTGTGGATCAATATATGCACTCAAACTGGGAATTATATGCAAAAAATGAATAAAATGCAAAAACTGATACAGATTAGTAGGAGAATGCTTAAATAAAGCCTTTTATTTTCCTTTTTATGCTACAAATAGTCTTATGTAAAATAAAAAGTTTCAATATCATGAAAAAAAAAACTTGAAAATGCAAGGGTTCCTTTTAGAAGCAGATTGTTTTCAGGTGAAAATGATAGTAAAGTGATGTCTGAGAGATTATTATGCCTGTGTAACCATTGTATGTGATATCTAATCATTATCTTGTTCAGAGACAAAAGTCACATTTAGTAAATGTTCTGTTTATGACTTAAGCCCACACAATGCCTGTAAATTTGTAATTAGGATGCAAACCTCTAGTATCTATTTACAATAAGATCTGGTCTTGAATTACGATTAGATGTGACACTCAGTATTAAATGTCAATTCTCTGAAAACCTTGTTTTGTGGTTCTCTCACATACCAAAATTGAAGTAGCACTAAACACATTTGGTCAATAATTTAGCTTTAGGTCTAATGTCCCTGGAAAATAAATGTTTGCAATGGAAATATTGCTTTGTCTTCAACAGCAAGGTAATGAGAGTACCCTTTTAATGGCATTTTTGCTGCATTTTGAAATACTAGAGGTTAACATCAAAAGGAATAAGACATGACCACTTAGGAATGGTTAATTATTTTAAAGAAAACATATTACAGCTATATTTGAAAAACTGCTGCTTCCACCCTCTGCCCCCATCATCAGTTAGGAGCAATATGTACAGTTATTGTAAGGGCAAGGGAGACAGATAGTTTTACTTCCTTACCATTTTTGGGTCTCTCACGCCTATGTTTTTCAGGGCCATCACAGCAGTTGCATGAACCCTGAGCGGCAGATCTGAGGCACCAGCTGCATAGCCTGGCAAAAATTTTTTGATGTGCTTGATGCTAGCTGGATGTCCCACATTCCCAAGGGCTTTCAAGGCCAGGGAAATTTCTTCTGTGTTAGACTTGCTCAATGCCTCTCCTGCAAAGCCATGAAGTAGCTGAAAAAAGAAAACAAATTTTCTGTTCAATTCCAGCTCTTATCAATATCCTATCCCCCAAGCTGTGTTTGAGGTTTGACTTTTCTTTGATAGTTTCAGTTTGTTCAATTCACTTATTTTAAATATTTTAAAATTCTTTTTGTTCTCATGAATAGGACATTTTATTCATAGAACAAGTACAGACAAGAAAGCAGCAATGAACAGCTTCTACATCACTATGCCTTAAAGTTATTGACTAGGATTTTTAAAGACAAAAATAATGGTTAGGACCTAGTCCCCATTGCCTTTCAGTGTGGGTTAGGAAGCTGGCAATAATGACTTTTGGATATTTCTCCCTACTGTTTAAAGGCAAGTGCAAAAATGCAGATACAGTTTAATCCTTCATACCCTAAAATAAGATTCCTGAAGATGCAGCTAGTGGTACAGCCCTTCGCTTCCAGCTGTGACAGCAACTTTTTAGTATGGATTAACAACTGGGAATGAGATCACCAGGTCATTCAACAGCCTTCCTTGTAAGCAACTGGATCACATTTTATGTATGTGGCAAGATTAGAAATAGTTGTCTGAAGACTCTGAATATGAGAAAAGAACTAAATCCTCATAGAAAGCTGCTTTCAAACAATACTAAACAATGGCTCTACAGAAGAACACTAAAATATCGCAGTATAATTTCAATACTACTCCCATGCTTTAAAATAACACATTAGAGATCCATTAATGTTGCAGAAACAGCACATTTGATATTATTAATCAAACTGAATGGAAGTTTGAAATGCATTGGTGAAGAATTTTCTATTCCCTGGCATTGGGCTTCCTATATTTAATTAGACCAACATTGTTGGTGGCAACTCTAACATAGGAGATGCACATTGGAACCAGAGGAGACTGTTTGGGCCTTTTCTGCATACCACAGGAAAAAAATCATGACAGGCACACAACATATTGAGAACTTCCTGCTCTTACTAGCGATGGTGGGTTGACTAGTGTGCAAGCCCAAGAACACCTGGGTTCTCTTTCCATCTCTATTGCTGGCCAGGTGGATGATCGCCACAAACCACTACATGCATGTCAAGAATGGAGAAATACTACTTTCTATATTATTTTGAGGCCTACTGATTAAGAGCCGTGCAGAATAAGTTTGTATTACTGTTATTTAAACCTTGTACTCTAAGTAGATGACTGGGTTCTGTTTCTGGCTGAGAAACTGATGGGCTACACAACTTTGGGCAAAAAAGAGGCTTTTGTGTCACTTCGTTTACATATCTGTGAAGTGCCTGTATTTAGAAGTGTTTCAGAGCAGTGCTGTGGGACTTCATTAATAATTTGCAATAAAGCGCTCAGAAACACTCAGACAGAAAGTGCCATGAATTACATGCTTTTTCCTTTCGCTCTCTTTTCTGTGTTAATCTAAAGATAAGAATGCTGTATTTAATCGACTGGGGTTCCTTTCCCCAAAGGGAAAGTGAAATGCATATCTCTGAATATTGAAGAAAGAACTCTAGGCTTAACTTTTCTTTTAAAAGATAAACAAAAATCAGGTTACCTGGAGACATTCAGAGCAGGAATCTGATGAGGAGCACTGTTTATGGCACAGTGATGCATAGCTAAGATGGCAAACCTTTCCAAGTACAGTACTTGAGCGTGGGCAATGTTTTTTCACGATGAGCTAGGGAGAAAGTATTTGTTTATTACCACAATTAACAAAGAAGCAACAATTTAAAAAAAAGTACATTTCTGCCAAAGGCAAGGCAATACCCAGCTTTCAATATTTTTGTATTGATGGATTTATGGTTAATCGGTGGGTATTACTGTATTTGACAATGCAATCATAACGTAATTCTAAGGAACATCTGGAAGGCAGATCTGTAGCTTTAATAGTGTTCCAGATTTTAATTTTGTATAGGCTATAATCCGAAGGGAGAAGATCACCCAGTTACAGAATGGAAAACACACATTATTCAAAAAGCACTCATCATTGTTTTATAATTGCCTGAGCTATAGGCACAAAAAACTTGTGATACATTCTGAGTGGACTTCAGTACTTTGGGCAGACAGGAATATTTCATATGAATCTGAGAGCTGACAGAAGGTAGCAAGCCTCCACTTCCTCAAGCACAGCATTACAGCGCAGTAACAGCTGAGCTGAGATGGCCTCCACAGAGGGCAAAGCTCTACTCTGAGATTCATGGTCTCTACCCAAGATAGGCAGAGAGAAGTTCCTGTGTCAGAGGATAGAATTTGACCCTGTAGAAGAGGTGCAAAATTGTAAAAATCATTATACTTTCTCCTACATGGGCTCCACATTGGTAGAGTTCCCTTGAATCAATAGATCTGCTCTGATTTACATCCATTTTGCTAGGTCAGTCAAAACCAATATAACAAATGTATTTCTTACTCCCTAGTCTTTGCAGAGGCTCTCTGTTAGAAATCCAATCTGATGAAACTATAAAGCACATTTGGACAAATGAAGACTCGAAATCACTGTTTGCAGCAGTAACCTCTGACACTGAGGGGAATTTTACTCTTTCTTTTCTATTTTATTCTGGACTCATTTTTGTTCCTTTGGTTTGCATTTGCCTCCCCTTAAGACAGTCAGGAAATAAATTCTTTTTAACCTCACGAGAGGATATAAAACCTTTATATTTTCAAAGCCTTTGTAATCTTGTCAAAGGAATAAATATGACAGAAGCTGAAATTAATAAGAACAATTAGATAGTGTTTAAAGAATCCTACTGTGGCTTCCTCCATCACATCACGAGTTGGCACGCTTGAGTGCAAACCCACAAGCACTGTCTGAGCTGCTTCCCAGTTGGTGAGTTCTTGCCTTTCCATTTTACGCCTTAAGAACCTCAGCGCACGATGAGTGGCAACTGCAGGAACTATATCCAAAAGGTAGCGCCTGTAATGAGAAAGGCAGTGATCATTTTCCAGATCTGCATTTGAACACAGTAATGCCAGATTGTCTGCAACAGAATTTTTCAGAAGAAGAATCATCACTGTATTTTTTGCTACCTGTATGCTGGTCGGCTTGAGAACTGTTTCCATACTGACTCGTAATTCTCCTCATTTGCTGCACGGAAAAGGTGCATAAGCTTGAGGGCTTTTGCAGGTGCGTCACTGGCAACCTGTTCATATGTGCTCTCTATGAGGTCTTGCAGGCTTTCTGCTATCTGCAGGAAGATTAAAATACACAAAAGTCACACGTGCTTTTTTCCCCACGTGCACTCATTCCAGCTTCCAGCACAGAATCTGTTCAGTGGCTGAACCTTACCTGGCTTTCCACATTTTCTATTTTGAATAAGTGGACAGGAAGCTGAAGCAATTCACTGCCAAACTGGTACTGAAGCGACCCACGTTTCCAGAATTCTTTTGGCGGGATCTCAACCATGTGCTTTTGAACATCAGTCAATGCAAGTTTCTGCCTGGAATGGAGGAACCCAGAGGGAGAACATCACAAGATGCAGGGTACAAAATAAAGAGAGAACAGTATTCTGCCTCTCATCATTGCAATATAAGTGCAATTGTTTCAAAAGGGTTTTGTTGTTGAGAGGCAAAGGTACTTTCAAAGAGATACATTAGGACACAATCCTCAGAGCCTTACTCTGAAAAGGCACACACAGGGCTCAAGATCAGAGCGAGCCATTGCCCTCCTTAGGGAATAAGACGGCTTGAGAGTTTAAGGAAGAAGTGGGAGGTGAGAAGCTGTGGCTTAAATAAGATCACAGGAACTGTGCACTGTGTCTTAAGGAGTAAATTAAGCATTGGAGAAGAATAGCTGATGGGAAACTTTTTCGGAAATTATCTCTTAATTTCAACCTTTTAAGAAAAAAGTCCTCAAATGCTTCCTGGAAGCTTCAAAAGAAATTGAAAATTGTTACAAACCATAAGAACAATTACAATCTTCTTACTTGAACTATTGCAATTCCCTCCCCCTTTTACCTGGCAAACTGAATGTCCTAGGGACTACAGAAGATAAAAGGGTCTCATGAAGCTTCAAATTGGATTTCCCCAACAAAGAGGGCCAGATAAATTCAGGATTAGACTTTGGAAAAGTACTCAAGTTTTTGGAAACTTTTCAAACCGCACCAAACCTTCAGCCTTTGTTATTAAGAATAATTCCAATGAGAGACTGTCTTTGTAAACATTTCCTGTGTGTGCTACATTTTCATTTAAAGGGATGCATCCTATCCTGCCAATTATGTTTAAAATAGGTCATTTAGGACACTATAATAAAATCACTATAATAAAATACTGAACATCTGAAAACATTCCAAAAAGCAATATCATTGTACTGCACAGTATCTCAAAATCTCTGTTGAAAATTGGTATGTTCATTTTGGAATCTCTATGATGATCTTTTATATCATTTCTATCCACTCCTTCTACATGGATTTCATAGAACTGCTGCAGAAAATACCATAGAACTGCTTTGCAGCGAAGCCACTGGAATTGGAATAGAAATCGCTACAGAATCAACCAAGATTTTTTCTCTCTTCAAATTTTATACAGTATTATCGGAAAGGCATTTGGGTCAGAAAGTATAATGCTAGGTGCACTTGGACAGATTAACTCCCCTTTCCAGAACAAGATGGATCTATTATGTCTTCATCTTCAGTGTTTTAGGAAGAGATCTATGTGCCTAGAATAGATGGGAAAATGTTATACTCCATACAGAAGAGCAAATGAATACTAAAGATAGGATTAAAATGGTGAAACAACAGCAAAACATCTCTCGGCTTCAAAAGGTGCAGCAAGAGGGTTATGCTGAACAGAACTGAAAATTCAGTTCCAAATATTTTAAGTCTTTGATGTTAGATTTTCATTTTACAAGGAAAGTGCATTATAAAAAATAACTTCTGAAGAGTCGTGTGACATATCCACATCTTCTCACCTATCATACATTTGGCCCCCTCTGCTGGGCAATGCAAAAGACCCAGCGATAATGGGAAAGAATAAAGTCATTACCCCTTCTGGGGAGGTCAACACCTGAGGAAGAATAGTAAGGAAGACAGTCCATGCAGGCTTGCAGGAAGAAAGTTTAAATCAGCAAAGGTTCATTGGTTCCAGACCAGTGCTGTCCCCAGCAGCCTATAATTTGATAAAGGGAGTACAGTCATATCTATCTTCACCTTGATTGCATGAGATAGTAAAGCTGCTTTCACCTTTTTATTTTTTATTTAGCCAAACTGAATATATTCATCATATTAATTAAAGTAATCAAGGATTTATTGACATGAATTTTCTGATGTTGCATTTTCCGAAACTGTACATGCTGCAAACCAGTAGATTTTAACAGAAGTTAATGGAGCAATGCAAAATTACAGAAACTGAGGAGGGAGACTGAAGTATATTCTGTAGTGACCTTTAGGCAGAAAGCCTTCCTCTTCAGTAGTGTGTGTAAAATGACCCTGCCTACAGAGTCCATCACTAAAGCAGGTAAGTTAAAAAAAAAAAAATCAACAGATGACTTCGATATAGATGAAAAAAATATTCACACTCTGAAAGTTTGGGGGCTTGAGTTAGAGAGGAGCAGGGGCTTCATTTCTTAGAAAATCATGTTGTCATTTTGCCTAAAACTTGCTTAAGAAATATGCAGAATTTTCTGTGGAAAAGCAAGTACGTTTCACATGTGCCCAATCTTTTTGCAATAAAACCCAACTTCCTATTAAGAAACAGTTTTGCTGGAAGATTTGCAAGCAGCCCATAGTACTTAGGAAGTATGTTGGAATCCAAAGTCATATCTGGGTTTCTTGAGAAGTAGTCTCCAAGGTCTCTTACAGCATTATTATTTTCGAGGGAATTCTCTTTCAGTGAGTAACTGTCTTTCAAAGTATTTTACTGCAAATATATTAGTTCACAATTTTTCAGATGGAATTACATTTGTTTTGGCTTTTATGACATAAATCAAATATCCCTGAGAAATAAAACAGTCAAATGCTGCCAGGTTTAGCTAACAAAATTTGGATAGTGATGTGCATGTTTCAGATTTACAACTAACAGTGAAGGTTGTTTTTATGAACTGTTTGGGGTTTTATGTAATTAAATACCGGCAAACAATAGGCCGTGGAAATAAAGGATTTATTTCAGTTATGGAGTTTGACCAGATTACTGAGATGCTGAGTTGCTGAATTAAAGGCGTATGTACAGTACCTTGCTTCTACTATAGCATTTCCTCCTGTTATCTCATTGAAGGGTGCAAACTGGTGGATTTCCTCAACATCAGCTTGTGTAATTACAGCTTCATTACGTGCATATTTAACTTTGTAATTGTAAGTAGCAGTTGCCCGGGAATTCTTGTTTCTCTTTATAACGAAAAAAGTGACAAAGAAAATAGGAAGTCATTTAATTTTTAAATTCTGTGACTAGAAGCTATTATATCACCCACTTCAACCTGCTTATTTTTCAGGGCTGTTTTGCTCACTGGCCACATTAGCAGTTTTTATGAATTCTGCAAATACGCTTCCACAGGAAAGGTCAGGCTTTTACTGCTAAGGAGTGTTAGCTTCTTTTTCCCTTCCCCAAATATAAGTCATTGGTTATTCCCTTGAGAAGGTGAAACACTCCCTGAGCAGCAGCCACACAATTTCTCATTTCAAAGACAGGAAGCTGAGGTAACATGGCCTATGCTTACACTTTGCATTGTAACATGACACAGAAATACCTGTCTTGAACACCAGAAACTGGACATCACGGCTAGCTTTTTTACTCTACAGAGGAGATGAATTAACTCATGGTGATAATTAATGCTTTTCAAGCTAGCTGGTTTAAGCTAGTTGGAGTATCCCTGCAGTACATGACAGTTCGCAGCATAGATCATTGCTGCTCCATGGATAGGATTTTCATGTAGAAGAAACTGTAGATAACTAGATGCAACAGCTCTGACTCTTCCCTCTTTTTAAGGGTTACAAAGCAAGAGATAATGTGGATGCCAATGGCTCTATTTAAAATATGTAACATACATATCTATGTTTTATATATAAAAATAAAATAATAAAATAAATATGTAAACATAATCCTTCTAATTTACCTGCTGGCAGGTCCGGCAAGGATGAGTGTATGCTGAACCAGTGACCATTTGAACTCTCTCTTCACAGCTGTTCAGGTCCTTGGATTTGGTCACATAGATTAGGTTTGCTCTCTTGTTTTCCTGAATTGCGTAGGTAGTATTACAAATTCCTCCGATGCTAGCCTGGCAAAAATTAGATGGGATCAGAGGATGTTTACCCCTAAGCAGAGCTCCTTGAGTTCCCCATATGAACCTTCCTGTTTAACGCTATAGCTTCAAAATCCCTGTTAGAAGTGCATACTTTTTTAGCTATAGTACTCTCTGGAAGCCAAACTAGGATGACTTTACTTCTCTTTCCCGTATGTACAGGTGAATGCACGCGCAGTAAGCCAAATCAGAGTTTCACTGAGAGGGCTAAAATTCTCAATAGCTTCATTGAGACAAGATTTGGAGCCTCAGAGAAGATGGAGAGTAATTTTCAGTTAGAGCTGTTGATTATGAAATATGATTTGAGTAATATTAATAAAAAGAGCCAAAATAATGTGACCAGTCAGAATAAAATCTCAACAGCAAAGTATTTTAAGGTTGGAAATGACATTCTGCCCCTAAAATTTGCTTTTATAGACAGCTTATAAGTGCCTATGGAACAGGCCTTGGAATACCAGGCAATCTATCACAATATGAACAGCAGTAATTAAAAAGAATTTCAGAATAGCAGAGTTCTGATTGTAGGTTTTCTTGAGTTTGCAGTTTTAACTCAGATCTTCAATAATATTTCAAGTATATATATTTATAGGAGGTCTTAAATCTCCTCAGCCAGTTAGGAGATTTTGGAAAGAAAAATATTTGATTGCATTTTAGGAGGAAGGGTTATTTTCATGATTGTTTTATTGCTACTAACAGTGTAGCTGTTCCAGAAAGCAGTTCTGGGCTATGTCAACTCAGCCAAATGGTCATGTGATGGTTTGCAAGGCAAGACACACCCATTTTATCTTTAATTTAAAAATACTCCTGAAGGCACGTGGCACCACTAAGGGCTAGAGGTAAGAATAAACACCAAAGGACTTGTACTCTGCAAATACAGGTATGGGGCTACTCTGCAGACTGCAGGGTGAGGTAGAGACATTTAAACTTAAAATGGGAATGCCCAGCCCACAGGGCTTAGCAGGATAAAGTAGCCTTCTGCTATAGCCGGACTTCTAGTAAGTGCTATTGAGATTATGGCTCGCTCAGATATCTTACCCTACCCGCTGCAAGCTGTGAAGCAGACTTTCCCAGGTTAGTCGTCTAAATCTGTCTGCAGCTCAGATTCACCTTCTGCATTTTGGGACTAATAATGGTTATCTTCCCTTATAGAGTGATTTGGGACTGTCAAGCAAAGGTGCCAATGCTCATTAATCACTGGCTGTCTGAGAAAAGCAAAGAAAACTTGGAAGAGATTTTAGGAGGTGAAGTCACGTATATTGCTCAGGAACGAGAACAGGAGATATTGCTAACTGAATTAGAAAGAATGAAGATGTAAAACCAGACTATGAGAAAATAGCGCTGCAAAATATGCGAAACCACCACCCAGGTTTTTATGTGCAACAAGCAGCATGAAAATATTAAATTATATAGTTCCTTTCCCAGAAACAACTCTATTCATATAAAAATATATTTAAAAAAAATTCAAGTTGCTCCAGTCTGCATTTTCAATAAAAATAACATGAAAGCACAGTAATTTCAAGGTTTCTGCTGATCTCTGAATCAAATACAGTCTAATCAATGTAAATACAGTTTTGCAAAAGCTAAACACATTGCAATTTCTATGGTGAACAGTAATATCAGATGATTTACCTTGACTAAGATATCAAAACCTGAAAAACAGTGGAAATTCCAATAGAACAACAACTGCAGCTCTCAAAGCTGTTACAGTAATATCATATATACTGTTTTCCTCCTAACAGGAGAGCTAGAAGAGATTAAAGTATATTTGATTGGTAGAAAAGTCAAATTGATGTTATTTTAGCTTTAATCTTATGTTGCACATTTAAGCTTGTTTTAACATAATATTCAAATTTTATGCAGGCTTCAGCTTCATACGAGCTTACTTTGCTAGAATCACAAGCCAGATTTTCTAAAAGTCTAATGCTGCAAATGCATTTTCTGAAATAATTTGATCAGCTAGATTAAAAACCTACTTATTTTGCTGTCCTGTTTAGCTACAGTTCCATCCAATGTTGTTCCAAAAGAATAACTTAATGATGATCTCCCAAGCTTAGGTGTTTCTTTTTACTGAAGATTATGTCAACAGGGGATCCAGAAAATGCAGTAAAAGAATCAGAAGAGAGGGTTATTCAGTGACAAAGCAACCATAATGGGCAAGAGGAAATGCTCACCTCCTGTAAGCTGTATGAGTTCTGCATCTTCTTTATACTCAGCTCGAGCACATTCAGAACCCCTCTATAGATGTTAAGACCATCTTCTGAGACAGACTCAGAAGCCATAAGGTTTCCAACATGGCCATTGTTATACTCAAATTTGATGGGATTACTTAATTGTCCTGTTAGCGCCTGCGTCAGTTTAAGTGACCGAGAGAATGAGCTTGTAGGCCAGATGCCGTTGTATTCTGCTGCTTCGATTGAGTGAATCTAGAACAGAGAGGGAATATAATTCCTCTAATTTTTTTCTACTAACTTTTTTCAATGCATATAAATAAACAGTACAAATATCATCTATAGTCCTACTCCCTTCAAAAATATAATTTTAAATAACAGAGACTCTTTAATGATACAACTTAACTTTAAGGCTGCATTTAACATAGCTACTACCAAAATACATGTTTCTATATATACATGGAGAGAAATGCAAATAACTGTGATATTTCCACGTCACTGTACTTTGTTGTATTTCACAGATAATCCATGCTGACAAAGGTTGACTTGCATGAAAAAATGAGCCAGAGAAGAGCTGCATGAAGCAGGTTGCTATCCAAAAGCAGGATGGAAGATCTGCAGGAAATTGCAGGAGAAAGTTAATGTTGCATAAAGAATCATTAACTCCTGTTGTGAACTCTGTCATCTCCCTCACTAGGGTCGCAGAGCACAGGCAGGAGTCAGAAACTAATAACAACATGGCTGCTGGGCCAGCCAGATAGTCATAATTAGTGGAGCACTGGAGAGGAGGTTACAAAAACTGTCCTTCCCTGCATATTTTTCTGTTGAGTGTTGAAGCCGAAGGCTCAGGCCAACTGGTACAAGCCCTGTTCTGCACTTTGTCCTCTAGCCTTAGCCTGGGGCAAGTCCAAGTGAGTAGAAAGTTATACTAAACGATGTATAACTTGAGCTATTTCTACCCCACAAGAACGGGGCATGTTTAGCTTAGTTTCTAAGCAGCCCCTTCCCCCCTATACATTTTAAGAATTTAGAGAGGCTTTTTTGTGGCACCTTAGGCTGGCAATGTGATACAAAACTCTGATTAATTTCCCCCAAAGCCACACAAACTAAATTCTCATACACCAAATCGCTAGAGACTTCACTTTCATATTTATTTTTGTTACTGTTCATGGAGATCGCCGCCAACCCTAGTAAGTGAAGCTTACAGAAGACGCAGTTACGGAGCAAGTCCCTCGTGCTGCCTCTTAGACATGCTTCTGGCATATCGTATACGGGCAGGCTGAGGACTGTGCTGCACGGTCACTTCCAGTACTGTTCCCCAGCCCTCAGGGCCCAGTCAGTACTTATGCTGCCTGCTAAGGCTTCGAACACAGCAGGCGATTCTTACTTGTGGGTTTGTGATGAAAAATTTGTCAGCTGGAAACCACCCAGGGACCAGGGCTTTTTACTTGGGAGGAATGAGAACTAGCAGCCTAAAGATGAAAGATTAATTCCCTGAACCATCCCTCCGAACTGTCTAATTTAAATATAACAGCAGCAAAATAAACTTTTCGCAGTGCAGACAGGAATAAATGTATCATTACCTTTCACTTAGAACTTGCCCAAAATCTCGTGATTTTTTTTCTTTTCTTCTTTTTCTTGCCAGAAAATGTTTATTTTTCACACTGAAACTTTTCCTCAAATGCACTAGAGCAGGTGAAACAGTATTGGAAGGTTTTAGGGAACAAGAGGCAATTTTTGGTGAAGACGTACCCCAGCACACCAAGAACTGTTTCACCAGGACTGGTGGGGCAAAGATAAGACCTGATTCTGCCTCCTCTCTGCCACGGAAGTCTTCTACTCACCAGTGCTGACATGTGACTTCCATTTCCTTGGGTTTTGCAAAAAAATCCAGCCACTTGCAAAGGTCATGGAAAAGCAATGTTTCCTGTCTAGATCTATTATAATTTGAACTTACAAAAATACCTAGTAACAGAAGGCTAGTTCAGGCTTGAAGGCGACAGCGTTTACAGGCATTTATCAGAGAGTCACCATTTTTTTTCATCTGCAGTTTTCAATTTGTCAAATAAAAGCTTTTAAAAAGACCATTTTTCTTCCACCTATACAGAAGACTAAGCGGAGTTTTTGTAAAGCAGTTGAGGGGTATGTTTCGATACATTCATTACAAGCACGTATAGGCTTCTGTTAAAGGCAAAAGTGTTTTTCACATAATCAGAACTCTTGGTAATTACTCAGCATGCAGTAAAAATATACAATTGAGGATGACAAAGGATGTCATTTGGGACCCTGCAGCAAAAGAAGCAACCAGAAGACATTAATTATGCTAAATATTGAATCACATCCAGCATGTTTTATTGCTTTTCACTTTCTGGTTATGAAATCAGTTGATTAAATAATCCTAGGTTGTACAGTTTGGAACAATTGGATTGATCCAGTAATAAATTATTGTGCATTTCAAATTATATTCCATTGTCTCCCTGACCACAAAGCAGAAGAAATCCTTCAAGCCCAAGGTTAGCTTGAGCTGAGAATTACCTGGCAAAGCGCAAATAGAATTTAGGGCACTGCATAAAAATAATAGTGTTAGTTACATTCTGCCTGAGTAAGCACAACATATGATGAAACTTAATTACTTCCCAAAAGCTTAAAAAAAAAGTAAAGTATGAGGGTAATTTTACCTTTGAAATTGGATACATTTTCTTACCCTAATAAGACAAAGTTTTGGCCCAATACCACTAATTTCCACTTTACTTTTTATTCTTATTCCAGCTCTGGCAAGTCCTTTCTCTGGAAGTCCACTGAGAAGCACACTTTCATAATTATACGTATAAGCCTTGTTTTCACTGAAATCAGGTTCTGCAAAGAAATAGTTCCCACAAAACATTATAGAGACTGTATGGAATATATTAAAGTACCCCTATTAGAATGTATGAAACAGAAAAGATGAATTTTTTCATTTTTGTATTGCATCTGAAGAAAATTAGCAGTTGCAAAATCATATTAAACATTGATATACTTTTCAGATTCTATTTTGAATTTCACTCATTATAATTATATTAGCTGATAGGAAAATTACTTACGATAATTAAGATGCTGGCTCCCTGAAAGAGAAGAAAACAGAGTAATGAAATGACAAAACAAAAATAACCCAAAATGTTCATATATTTTAGTATGAAAAGCTACATCTGAGCTCGTACATATGGCAAAACTCTTAGCAATTAACTTTCCTTCTAAGTCAGCATATAGCTAAAAGTCTCTTTTTCCTACACAACAAAAAAATTGTCGTAAATTGGATTATAACTTTAAAGCTTGTATTTATAAATGAATCACATTTAGATTCTGAAACCTCTTCCTGAATCTATTATTTTAAATCCATCAAAGCAGATAAGTTACTTACCCACAAGGGTTAAAACGAGGGCTAAAATCAACCCCCTCATGGTGGGGATAAAGTAAAGGTGAACATGTTGCGTTCTCTTTTATAAAGGCATGCGCTATCACATGTTTCTTTTGGCATGCTGGTTTGACAAATAAGTGTATTTTAGTATGTGTATTGATCAATCAAAGAATAAACATTTCTGAGAGCATGAACGCTGACAGCCTAAAACAACTTCACGATGTCCACTACTTTTGCTCTGTATGTGAAACAGAGAATTTATTTTTGAAATATCTTGCTTTCTATATTTTCAGTTTCTGCACATAGTAGTTATACAGTAAAATAATAATTTAAAATAATTATTTTAAAAAATCAAAATAGCTCCTCGATCATAACTGAAATACTTTGTCTAGTCATATCTCCAACCATATTTTTGATGTCCTGTTGAATTACTCTTGCTGAGGATCCCAGCTTTGGATACACACCTTAATCCTTCAAGAAGAAAATCTACTTTTAGAGGAAAATTTGTGACTGATTTTATAATATTATGAATGAGATACTTTTAAGCTCACAGCCATGCAATGAGAACCATCTTTACATGGTATCTATCATGGCTTTCTTTGCAAGTATATCTTGTTACCTTCATCTGGGAAAAATCTTCTCAGTATGCCCTTCACAGTAGGTTCTGGCTAATAATCAAGGTTTATACTATAAAAAAAAAGAGGAAAATTAATTTATTTGCTTATGAAAAGATTCTAATAAAAAAGAATCGTTATGTTTCCAAAAGCACCTCCATGAGTTAGGAGGGTCAGGTTCTTATTATTGAAATCTTAATGGGTTTTGGCTGCTGAGACACTTGGGAAAACGTATTTAAAATTTCCCCCATGTAACAACATTTAGATCAATTCTTAGGAAAAGTATACATTTAGTCATGTGTGAGTTTGCTCCCTAAGCTCAGTTACACATACTTTTGGAAATGATTTAGCATTCATTTTGACCTTAAGCTTGCCTTTTGGTCAAATGGCAAATTTAATATCACGTAGAAACCATCTCCTTTCAGTGTCCAGGCACAAAGGTTGTTGAGGCATGGAAGGAGGTCTCAGAAATGTATGTATGTTTGGTATTTCCTCGAGCCTGTCAAAAGTACAAAACACTCGCAAGTAATGCACATAGTCAGACAGCTAGACTTTCTCCTCCAGAAAGAATAAGGTTTTCTTGGGCTGCTGCTATTCACTGGGGACGAGAGGGGTGAAACCCCTCTCAGAGGCCTGAGAATGCATTTACTGCAGGCAACCTCCAAGAGTCGCTTTACATTGTTAATACATTTATTTTGAGTGATGCCACCAGATTGAGGAATAATGAGGCTTATTACTGTGCTGCCAGAGCACTCGAGACGGTGCTGCTCTGGATGCGGCTGGAGCGTGACCTGGGCTCGCGGCACTCCCCAAATGCGCACCACAAGCTCCTCCATGCAGCCCTTCACGGTCACGATGCCCCAGCCACGGTGGCTCCTCCACAGCATCCCTGGAGTTGGATGGTGGGGAAGACCAGGGAGACCAACAAGCCAAACAAGGACCGTCTCATCTGAAGACCGTCATTACCAATTCCTCCAACAATCTTGGCAATTTTTAAATTGCAGTTTTCTTTCATAATGGAAAAGATGTATATCTGGATGAATACTCAGATCTTCCCGGAAATGAGATATATGTCTAGTAAAATATTTAAAAATATGTGATAGACTTTTGAACTGTTATGACATATTAATATTTTGGGTGTTGGTTCAGCACGAGTTTAGAGGGTGAAAAATTAAGTGCACATGGATCCCCCCCACCTTTTTTGAGTGCTAACTAGCTTCTCTTGCTTTTTCTTGTGTAAAGTATGACGAGATGGACTATGCCTGCAGGCCCTGTGAAATTCAGTGGCATACCTGTGCTGGTACATATGCATTGTCAGATGCAGCTTAATAACAGATTAATTTCTGGCAAAACTTGTAGAAGATAAAGCCAGTAGGCAGCAACAATAACATCAGACAATGAAATGAGAGATGACTTCAGGCATTAATAGCAATTATTACCTATTACATACCTAATGTAAGGAGAACATGTGAATTTTCCTAAAATGTAATAATGTTTTGAGAAGTTGGAGGATACGAACCCAAGAAGATAGAATACTAGACATGCCTACTCCCTCATTACAAAGTGATCATTTCATATACCTTCCATTTGATTCACCCATTTCTGATGATGAAGTAAATGGAAATGGGCTATTAAAACTCTTTCAGCTGTAGCATTTTCAGACTTTTTAACCTTTGGTTAAACTGGGTTGTGGTTACACAGTAGTGATCTTGGGAGGAAGTATTTCATAAAATGCATACCTATTCACTAAAGGAAGAAATGCCTTGTCACAGTTATATCATTTGCAGCCCATAATGGAAGGAGATGTATAGCAGCAGTGTAATACTCTAACTGGTAATATGCAAAACACTCCTGCTTCAGCTACCCTGTTTTTATGGTACTGCTAATCAACGATACAGCTTGACCTCTGCAGTAATATTGTGCTGTCATGCTGAACTGGCCATACTTCCACAGTGCAGAATACAAAAACTATGTAAGGAAGAATATTAATTTAAGTGATGTTATTAACAATGTATTGAAATAATGTCTAAGGGACACTTACAGATTTTAATTTGGAGCTATAATATCTTTCGATTTTAATAAAAGGCTTTATAATTAAGATAAATAGATTTGTTCTAACTGGATAGTGAAAATACTGCATTTCTTTTTTCTAATGGGAGAATATTGAAAGAGTCTAAGCTTGCAATCAGCATGTAAACAGCTGAATGCTAGACTAACTAAATGATGTTATAATATAACTAAATATAATAACTAAAAATGTTATAAAAATAACTAAAAATGTTAGACTAACTAAAATGATTAAGATTATGCAGGACCCCCGCATCTGCCACATGTCCTCTCTTTTTTATTAATGGCTCCTTTCTCTCCAGTTTTGAGTTCTTGGGGGTGAGGAGAAAGTAATCTCGAAATTGTTGTACCCATTATTATTTTAAAAAGACAAGCTAATAAATTCAGTGAGTGCAAAGGAGAGACCTCTAGAGTTGGAGGGTCACAGCACTGGGCTCTAATTCTCCAAAGCAGACACGGTCTTCCAGCTAGCTCTAAGAGAATAAACAAACAATCATCTGTCACTTTAAGAAAATGAATGAGAAGAGAAAAGGTGAGAGCCACATTTTTTTAAAGCAAATATGATGTCATGGTAGTGAGCATGAAAATATCAGAAAAATAAATAAAATGCAATTAAACAAGCCTTCTACAAACAACTTGTATGTGCCTAATTTGGTTGCAGAGGAAGGAGTTTTGATGTGGGCATGGACTTTGTACACAACCCGTATCATAACTTCTTTTTTGAGCTATAAACAATGAAGAAAAGGAATTTTGAAAAAGTGATGGGAAATATCTTGGGATCTTTTTTTAAGGGAAGAGAATATATGGCATTGAGTGTAATAGAGAGGATGACAGCTGTAGTAGGGCTGCAGTAAGATGAGGTGGGTTGCAGTAAGATGAGGTAGGCTGCTTTGAATTTACCGGGTACTTGTACCATAAATGAAACATGAATGCAGCCTAATTAACCTGATTAGAGCTATTGCTTCTACACTGCAATTGTCTTTACATAACACATTCTGCTTGGGCAACAGAGTCTTATTATCTGCTGTTGTATAGCTGCCGATAGCTCTGCACTCTCCTTGTTCTGTATTCATGTTGCTGAATTATGGTGCAGTGATGCCATTTCCATCCTGCTAATATATAGCCTAACGACAAGACAGGGATTAGCAAAACAGCTCCCAAGCAACCACAGCAGGTTAAAATAGATATAATCAGTTGGCTAAGCTAAGTGATTTTTAGCTTTCAGCTTTCTTCATTTCTAAAGATGAAGAAACCTTACTTAAAAATTATAAAAAAACCTCATACCTATTTCATATTTAACATGCATTCCTTGACATTTTTTCAACATATTCAGCATTTGCTGTTGTAGTAGAGTCTCCAAGAAAATGTTTGATATTCCCTCTGGAGACTCTGGACAGTATCTAATGAATAGGAATGTGTTCTGGGTTGGACTAAATTGCCATATGCTGATTCTAGTACCTTCACAAAGGGATTTTGTTACATTAGCTTGATTTAAAAGGTACTTTTTTTTTTTTTTTACTTCCATTCCTTTTACCAGAAAGAAACCAACAGGCCCTACTGTTATCCCAGTTTGATGCTGGCACACCACCAACAGAGTGGTAACTGTGGGAATCAGATACAGCGTCTGCAAAATGAAAGAAGTAGAAATGCTATTTATATTTTGTCTAGCTCTGGGAATATGCATGGTTTGAAATAAGCTGTTGATACAATTTTATAGTACAGCTGGTAGAATTTATTTTTGATAAATTTGATTTTCATTAATACATGCAGTTAAACTGAAACCATGTTTTTGTGCATTTCAATGAACTTCTTAATGGGATTGTTTCTGATGTCCGGCATAGTTTTGCCTGTTATTTCCAGAGAAAAGAATGAATGTGAGAAAAAGAGAGGAAGACTGTGGAATTGAAACTCTAGCATTCTCAATCTGAAAATGAATTAATTTGATGCAACTCAGATTTATTAAAATGTTCAAAAGTTTTTTTAAAAAAATCAAATACAGAAAACATATTGTGAAGCTTTGCAACTCACCATCATTGCTATCATCATTGCTTCATCAGCTAGCATACTAATTAAGTAGCTTTGGGATTTTTTCCTTCTTTCAGTATATACTATTTCCCAAGTCATTCATTAGGGTTAAATGTCAGACAACTTGTCATCTGAGACTTGAGTCACTTCATAGTTGAGGACTGATGTTTGCTATGTAATTCTATTGCACTAGAAGATAACTTCTCCAAGTTTATCTTAACCCTAATTTAGACTTCACGGTCACAGAGTGATTAGCTTTTGCGACATTGGTACTTACAGGAAATCAGGTAGCCCTTATCCTGAAATTTAGCCTTACCATATCTCTACCTCAGTCATC